CCTTATTGATTTACCGCTTGAAGGAGTCGCGGTTAATTTTGCGCAAGCCATGTGCCGAAGTATCTAACCAGAGAATTAATGAAACAGTTCGTGTGTTGGCCAGCATCTCTCTTTTGCTGCTGCTGGGCTACAAAGACGGGGACGGAGTGCGTGCTTTCACTATTCTTTGTGCATCGATTTCCTTTTACTGACTGCTCGATGAACAATTTGCAGGCTTCTCGGTGCCCCCGCTGAATTGAACCAGAAAATCAGCGACGCCATACCGTTTTGACAGCGGTGGTTTTTTTTTTTTTTTTTTTTTTTTTTTTTTTTTTTTTTTTGGTTTATGTGTCTTTATGCGATGAGGCGTTCTTTTTACTAGTGGATAGCTATCGGTTTTCTCGAATGTCGCTGCAGCCCGTATCTTGGAGGGTCTCTTTCTCCTTTTCTTCCCATCCCACATATGTCTCTGGTGAGGACGGCGCGATTACGTATAGATGAGATTTTTACACGGGGACACATTCTTATTGGAATACCACCACCACAGGAAATTGGAGTCACGGACAGCTCGCTCTGGGAGTTTTGGCGCGATGTGCGTCGGCTTGCTCTTGCCAATGTGTCTTTCATGGTTTATCAGGTTTCCTTCTTTTCATCTTCTACAGTGTGGAACTGCAAACTAATGGGCACCAACTCAGTGGTCCTTCAGATACGAAAGCTTGCAGCCAATTCGATTCAGGAGCTGTATTAAGGGAACTCTTTCTACTTGATACGAGCGCAGGTGTGGAAGTATAGTGCTGTAAAGTCCAACTGTTAAAGTTTTTATCTGTTTGTGATATTGTTCTTTCAAGACCTTTAGAAGAGGGAAATAAGATTACAGATTTGTGCCTGCTCAATGACATGACAAATTCGCAGAATGTGTATAAAAGCACATAGCAACACACAACACAATGCAGTATTTGATGTTGTTAACATCTTTCAGATTCAAAATCATCAATTTCAGTGATCTTTTATGAGAGAATCAGTCTTATGAAAAGAAAAAAAAGTCACAGAAGACATTTCATCGTCTTCCTTCGTCTTTAGTCGCTGTGTTACTATTCAAGCAATAGATATTTGTTGATATTTCAAATCTCCTTGTGAACTCTTCCTACTATTCCTTTTTTCTCTTTATCTACTCTGAAATTTACAGAGTATTGGCCTCGACATCTCACTTCCTTGAACCCCCTTCTTGGAATCAAACTCCCTACCTCCACTATGGATGATGTCCCTGATGTCCCCGATATTCCAAAGGAGCTTGAAGACAAGGAAATTCTATTCTCTGGCGATTTTACCGCTGCAGAGCTTTCAGCTCGAGCCGAACTCTACGAAAAAATAAATGTCGCAGTCAACGGATATATGAACGTTCCGTTTGGTAGTTGGGATTGTCTTACCTTTCAATTACGCGAGATAAACTGCAAAATCCGGTTGAACGAACTGGAATGTCGCGTCAGCGAAAGGATTTTCGCACCAGCGGAGGACAGTGTCGAGTATGCCAGAAAAATGAAGCATTATCGTGAGGAGCGACTTGTTTATTTCGGAGAGCGGGATCGCCTTGGAAGAGAAATGTGGCACCTATTTCGAAACACCATAGGGGAAAAGCCGGATGCCAAACGCGCTGAAAATCGCCAGGCTAAATTTGCGGACCTAGTTTTGTCCTTGACGGCAGAAATTACCCCGGAAGAACAACAGACCTTTGTGGCGAACCTGGAAAACGCATACTGCCTTGAAGGCTCGCCGGAGGGCGAAGTTTGGTGCCCTATTGCGGTGGGCTGGATGAAAAAATCAGACGTGGGTGCAGCCCATATTTTCCCGACCATAGCTGGACAGGGAAACATGGCTCTAGTTTTCGCGGAGGGCCCTGATATTGATGTCAACGGGGCCAAAAATGGACTTTTCTTACCCCCGCGTGTCAAGGAGGCGTTTGAGAAGTTCCAGATTGTCATCGTACCGGAGGATGTTGGCGCTAATCCCCCGGAGTTCGAGTTCAGAGTCCTCGATGCGTCTGTCCATTCTCAAATGGGGACTCAGGATATGACCTTCAACGAATTGAACAAAAGAAAACTCATATTCCAACCGGAAAACTCCTTTAGACCGAGTCTGCAGTATCTTCATTTTCATTTTGCTGTGGCTATGCTGCTCAGGTCGAGGAGGGGAGGGGCTTCTGAGAAACTACCGGACTGGGTGACCTCTGGGCTCAGGGGTGTCTGGGAGGACCCAACTATCATCATATGCGAAGATCTGCTTCTGGGTTTTGTTCAGGCACTCGAGGCGTATTGGGAGGAATCTGAAAGGGACAGAGCAGAAAAACAGCGGCTTTTAGAAGACGATGCTGAGAACAAAATGTGATTTGAATGATAAGGCGTACAATGCAAGGTGGCAATGGCCAATTTTCCCGTTATTATTTTTGTTTCGATTTTTTTTTTTTTTTTTTCTGCCCTTTACAATTTTATCTTCAGTATTTGCCCCACTTTGACCGGTCTTTCTACTGTTCACTATGCAAATAGAGGTGGATATAATACTTGCTTCCTAGGTACATAATATAGTTATCCATTCTAGCAATTTGTTTCTGCCCTTTTTCTGGCGGAGGTGGTGACGAATTAACAATACTAGGAATATCTTCGCGTGGGATAGTTGGTGGTTGGAAATTATTACGATGATGACCACTTGACTAATGGCGCATGGATTGTTTACCTTAACTACAGGTGCCAATAGAAAACAAATGTAATCTATGGATATAATTGGAACAGGGAAAACTTATAAAAACAGTTATCCCCTACAACCAGTAGATAGTAATTGCACTATATACAAATTGAACGAAATGCTGAAAGTTTCATATTGCCAAGCCTTGATATAACAAGATAAAGTAATACCAAGGTCCATCCATACCTAATCTCACTAACAAATGAAGACAAGTAGCAACTGCAAATAGAAGCAAATGACAGCAGTAGATGTGAAGTGTAAAGTAATAGTTAAATTATTTTCACTTTAGCATCTCAGTTAGCTCTGTCTGATCCACTTCAACCGACGGAAGCCAAGGTTCCGCATCACCAATCTTCTGTACAACAAGACCAGCGCTCCCAGGATTCTCATACCCAGCCTCCTTTTGTCGTTTATAGCTCACCATGCGCAACCGTTGGTTCTCCCGCGGGGTCAACTGTAGGTAAATCTCCACTCCAATAATGTGCGTGGCCATCGCAAGCCACATTGCCAATCCAAATGAGACGTGGAGATTTGCCCCAATCCTCGCTGGGTCCCTGGCATTTTTATCTGGATGGACGATCGCTACGGGCTTATAGCCTGGGGGTGGCTCTGAACCGTTTGGAGGAGGTGCACACATCGGGTATGCGACTAGATAGAAGACAGGAACCTTGTAGAACTGCCAGGTGAATTTGATCTTCTCGCAGGACCAGACTTCGTAGTAGTCACCAAGCCTGACAGCAGTTCGCGTGATGATTTCGAGAAAGGGCCGAATGGTCACGATGCTGCCCATGTAGAACATGGCTCGTAGCATCCAGGCGCGATGCTGCTCGATCTGCAGTCGGCGGCTGTTGTAGTAGGCTATACCGACACTGACAGTGCTCATTAGAACCAGAAGGCCTATGGCAAATTGTATCTCCACGCCGCCGCCAAAGGCATGGCGGGCGATCATTAATGCTCCAGCGTTGGAAATGAGGAACAACGTGATGATGATGTATCCGTTGATGCGGTGGAAGAGTATTACTCGATATCGAATCGAGGGAATGAACTGAAATATCACGAGGATTCCGCAGGGGAGGATGGTGCCTAGATGAAGGGTGATGCCGACACGCCTGAAGCCGGCATGTTGATAGAACCACTCTCCAGGACCGGTGCCGTTGGCATAACGTCCGCCAATGTCGAGATATTTTGGACGCGCAAGAGTAAAGCCAAGCAGGCCGCCGGCAAAGATGAAGAAGAGTATGAAATTATAGGACTTTTTGAACCCAAGAAATATAAGTATTGAACTCCATATATTTATTCATCATGGCGAAGAGAAGGGGGTAGCTGTGGATTGAGTCGGGTAAATGGGAGAAAGGAAAACTGATATGGCTTAGAGCTGGCGAGTAGCCTTTTAAATACCTGGGCAGATATATATATATATAGAGAGAGAGATAGATAGATAGATAGATATATACGCTTTTTAGCTACCTTGAGGTCATTGGTAGCGGAAGCAACAATGACTATGTATGTAAATTTGCAACATCCGCCACGACTATATAGGTGGAGCAGCATAGGGATAGCAACGTGGTAGATACTATCCACGAACAGTTTCCTTACGCAACTAATGCATAGGAAAACGTAACAGGCTCCTCTGCCGCGAGCTGAACGCTATGGATTTCGGTCTTAACTCTTCCGAATAAAAAAAAAGAAAAAAAAAAAAGAGGAGCTGACAACTATTGAACGGAGTATGAGAAATTAGCCCTTGCGGCAGTTATCTATTTCATGAAATGGCCAAGAATTGGGCCAGAAATATACTTCTTGGTCGTGGATACACTGTGATACTGAAACGGTTCAGTATAATCCTGGGATCTGAGATCTTGTCTCGGTTGGGTACCGAGATTGGCGGCAGGGAGAAAAACCTGTGTTGATTCTTACCGCCGATGGGATTCACAACACTAATAGTATATCTGACGCTCACCATTCACCAGGGCTGGATGGTACGTGTCAGATGGACAGGGACTTCAGAAGAATAGTAAGGGAAAAGGCTTCGTTGGGTCGAGGAAGGTATTCCAACGACTCTAAACGGTTGCGCTGTTTTCAAGCAAATGCTATGCCAGCTCAGGATGATGGCCTTGCTGTATTCCCTTCACAGAAGGACATATCCCAATTGCGATAAAGAATAGAGCATGGCCATTTTGAGAAGGGAAAGATCTCCCTCATGAGGCCTTGAAAAGGGCGTGCTTTTGCAAAATACCTGTTCAGCTGGAAGCGAAAATGTAAACAGGGTCTGTCGATCATGGACTATCAACATCGCAATTCCATTTTTGCCCAGGAGGTTTGAGAAAGAAATGAGCCATGTGAACGGATGGGCGATGAACAAGATCCACAGAGATCACAATTGCCCCGTAGAGCAACAGGGCTGATAGGATTCTTCCCTCCCCACCCACCCCCGGCGGGGCCCGGAGACCAGGTAGTACGAAATGAGTTGTACGGTGCCAATGCATCCTCAACTCCGAATTTAGAACACAGAAATCGAGGTCCCACCCGAATTCTCTCGGCCCAGGTATTGAATGACAATGCTGAACGATACTTGTTGGGTTGATAATTTTTCCATGAAGAGCTTAACTCGTAGTTATGTGCAGTTGGTCACTAACGGCATGCGGAAAATTGAAGGCTGAAGCATTGGACTAAGGAGTTAAGAACGTTAAAAAGGGCTAAGAATAACCAGGGGAGGGATTGTCTGCCGAATCATGCAATCTGAATAACCAGATTCACGATTTGGTTCCAGAGGCTGCGTCCTCATTCATGGGACAACGGGAACAAGTGTCGTGTTTCAAAAATAAAAAAATGCCGATCCTTGACACGACGTTCTCACAGCTCCATCTTGGCACGTAGCTAGATATTTGCCCGAGATCTCTTTACGGCCGTACCGGAGAACTTTTTATGTTGAGAGAGAGTAAATCCACATTGGCAAAGGCAATTCCATGCATTTCGGTTGGAAGTTTGTTATTTAATTATGCTGCAGACGTATTTAGAAAACAGCGTTCCAAACTGGAATAACGATACTAAAAATGAGGGAGAAAATGAACTGAAAGAAAATGAAGATGAAAACGACGAAAGTTAGTTATAGGATATCAATGGACAGGATCCAAAACAGCTTCTCACCCCAAAACAAGGCGCGATATCTGCCTTCGAAGAACAATCTTCTTCAGCCATTGCATTCTCGAATCATGCAAGGCACGCATGCTCGAGCATCGCAACTGGGAGAGCCTAGCAGGTAAATTGGGCAGTATCGGTCGCAATATTGGCGCGAACCAGCATCCTCGATACGTGGTCACCAGCGCCTGTGAGAGCAGTTAGTGCGATTTTCCCGCACTGGTTGGAGGAGGAGAAGGGTGGTAGTGAGAAACACGGAGGCAACCGCAGCGGTGGTCCTGGGTTGAAGTTGGAAGTTTGTGTGCTGATGATATCACCCTTCATTTGCTGCTCAACTTCATCAAGAACGTCCTTCAAGCTGCTGCTGAAATCATACCGGTAACGCCCTTGGGTGTATCTCTTCTTCCGCTCCTCTTCTTGCTTCCTCTCTCTTCTGTTCGTCTAGCCTCTTCCTGCTTTCTTGTTTCTTCATTCCGCTTCTCTCTGGCCTGGCTCTCTTCTTCTTGTTTGCGAAATGCATGGACTTCTTCTTTCGTTCGCTTCATCCTTTCCAAGAAATCGTGGGCCTCCTTTTCCGAATACCCCCTTTCCTGTGCTTCCAGAACCTGTCGTTTTCTGGCTCCATGCCTCCTTCGTATTTATCCCATTCACCCTTAATTCGCTTATATTTGCAGCCAAAGCAATACTGCACGCATTAATACCCTCCAAGCCTGTTTGTATTGCAACCCGTACAATGCTGCTCTTCCTTAGCCACCACGCGCCATATCCCAAAGCCCCAGTCACTGCAAATATACCTGCCCAACTTGACCGGGCCTCCAGCACAATCTGCTGTGCCAGGCCCTCAATAGCATAAGAATCATTTGCTCTAGGGAACGGCTCATCTGGGATATTGATTCCCAATATCTCGCGCAATGGAGCCCATCCATCACACACTTCCATCAAGTGGAACTGGAACCAGAGCCAAATCCACTTCAAAAAAACCCAGCCCCGGACCGCTTCGTCGTTGCCTCCCAGTTCCTCCACCACCTCCCCGGGTTGCGGTGGACAACTCACGACCTCAGCACCCGGGTATATAGTTACAGCACTACTTCTACGAAGCAGTTGCCCGGTGCATCCGTGATAGGTACGAAGCTAGCTGTGGCTTCATGGAGCATCTGTGAGTCTCTGTGCATGATGAGTTCACTGAGTAGTCTTTTCAGTGTCAGAGTCATTGGTATTGTTCCTATTCTTGAAATAGCTGTCATCAATTACTTTTTATGAACTGTGTGTGTGTGTGTGTGTGTGTGTGTGTGTGTGTGTGTGCGTGTGCGTGTGCGTGTCTGATCATGATACATGAAGAGAACAACTCATATTTGTTTGTATGACAATTCAATGATGACTTTTGAGTTGCACAGATGTTTTGTATGTTGAAAAAATAACAATACTTCTCCCTCTGAAGATTTTTTTTTCTTATTTTTATTTTTAATTGTTTTATTTTCTCCTCCTATTCTCCTTTTATGTGAGACTGGTTGGCTAACTAACTAGTACTGAAGAAGCTGACGTCAATGGGGAACCTGGAATTCACCAACAACCTCGTATGGAGCAAATGCGCAGGGGAAAACCTGTTTCATGCTGACCAACATTACAATTAAATAACTATTATCCCAATCATAGTTTCAGAACGTTGTCAACATCTCACTAAGTGGAGTGTGTTCAATTGTAAGCAACAAATTTGTAAAAGGAGTGTATTAACATTGAGGAATCCACCATCTATTCCCGATTTTCAAAGCTAAAACGTAATTATACATCTGCTCTAAAAGGATATTTCCCTAAAAACCTGATTATCCAACTCCTATCTACCTAGGTTATACACATCTATCAAAATAAAGTATTGAGAACGGCATGACTATAATCAATCATCCGGATACACCCCATAGGCATGAGTGCAATACCAAAAACAATATAAAAACACTGCACCAATATGCCCAAAAAAGAAGAGAAAAAAGAAAAAGAAAAAAGAAAGGTAAACAAAATCAACAAAAATCAAACCTTCAAATGTTCCACCCTCTTCCTAATCTCACACGGAAAAACATCAATTCCAGACCTCAACACCACAGATTTAATCCGATTAACGGTAACAATACTAACCCACTCCCCTGCCACGGACGGCTGGGCCAGGAGATCCAAACAGGCCTCCGCCTCCTGCTTGGAGATGGGACACCGTAGGGAATCTCGAATATTCTGAATGATGGTGTTCCATCGATACGGCTTTTTGCGAGACGGGGCGGTTGTAATTGTTGCAGGGCTGATAGGCGACGACGAAGAATTTGAAGATGCAGAAGATGCAGAAGATGCAGGCGCCGAAGACGATGCCGGTCTAAGTAAAATCAACACCCCAACAACCTCCTCAACCAAACCAACCGCGGAACGGCGCAGGATAGCCTCCTTACTCGGCGGCGGAGCCAGCGTCGTCTGCTTGAGTTGTTTGTTCTGGATCCGTTGGAGAAGCCCGCTACGACGACTGGCTGCGGTTGGAGAAGAGGTGACAGACACACCTTTGCCGTCTTTGCTACTACCACTTTCAGGACCCGTGGCGGCTGTTTTCAGTCCCACCATGCCCCGCTTGAAATCGAGAAGGCGTTGTTGTCCGATGCGGAGGGATGTGAAGGCTGTTGTTGAGTCGTGGATTGGGGCTAGGGGGATGGCGGGGGGTGGATGTGTGCCCGATGGTGATTGGTTGTGGGTAGAGCTGCGCCAGATGCGTTGTAGGTTGATGCGGAATTTAGCGTTTAGCTCTGCTTCGTCAAAAGGGGGTCCAAAGTTGTTCTTGTTCTTCTTCGGGGTCCTGCTGTTTTCTGGGTCCATGAACTCCAGACATGTCTTGCGGATTCCATAGTTGACGATTCTGAAGGTCATGCTGGAGTCATTGCTCTTGTCGTCGCCTTTGCAGGCTGGTTCTGTGTCACTCTCTAATATGTATAGAAGTCTCTGTAGATCTTCCCTGTGGACCTTGCGCTTCTTCCATATCTTTTCTGTGCTGGGGAGTAATAGGTTAAGATCTGCGGGGGTGCTTCGTCCATTGTGAGAGTAGTGGAGGGATAACGCTGAGAGAAAGGAAGAATGCAGAGCGATGAGGTCGTGGAAGGATTGCGGTAGGTTGTCATAATCGGATATCTCATTCTCATTCTCATTCCCATTTGCATTGGTATTGGTATTGGTATTGGGATCGGTAGTTGTACGGGGCAGAGGGTTGTTTTTGTTTCCAGTGGCGGAGAGCGAAGATGGGCCGGATGTTAAAACCTTCTTCGTTGGTGTTAGGGGAGAGGTTGATCGCGTTGTAAGAGAAGAACGGGTTTTCGAGCGTAAGACCGATGATTTGCTCAGCCGCGCTCCCTTGGGCGGTCTTTCACCGATCTCGTCGCAGGAGCTACTATCTTCGGTGCTGCGGCTGGTAACTTCGACCATTTGAACCTCGATCTCGCCAACCTTGCGCTTCTTGGAGGAAAGGACATCTTTGGCATCTTTGGCATCGAATTGCCTTGCTCTTGACTTTGTCGCCTTTGCAAATTCCTGTATCGCGGTTTGTTGCGGAGGAAGGCAGCGGGTTGACGCCCTGGACGGGCGCGAGAACTTGACCCTTGGGCCCATGACTGATGACGCTTTCTTTCCCCGTCGTCAGGGATAAGATACTATTATGTATTTAATTATTCAATGTAAGGAGCTACTGCGTATGTACAGCAATGAAGACGGGAACTAGGAAGGGGTTATGGGCATATATAGTTAGGTGTAGGTAGGTTATGAAAAGGGCGAAGAGAGAATTGAGATGGAGACATTCACAAAAGCAGGCCAAACAGTGAATGTTTTGCTTTGTTTTCTTCTTGTTCTGTGTGAGGGCTCACAGCCCAGGTTGCAAAGAAGAGGATACATAATTGGATTTCAAGGCGGGATGCGGGTTTAGGTACCGCGACGCGGATGGATCACGGGGGGACGCGTTTGAAAGCGCTTAGCCTAATCGGGTTAAATTCATGGTTCGGGAACGAACTTGATGGAGATCGCTGGCCAAGATATTTAAATATATAATATATTATTAAAAAAAAAAATATAACAAGTTACATAAAAATTAAAATAATGAATGCTAAATAATGTAAATAAAAATAAAAGCTCTTTAAATATGTAACATAAGTATATAATTTTATAATTGTATATAGTTTACAATTGTTCTATAAGTTACTTTTATTTTATAATATTTAAAAGAAAAATATAATTACTTGTACATCTGAGTTCACTATACAACTGACAACGGCTTGTAGTTTACAGCTTGTTAGGTTCGATTCAATCAAATTTAAAACGATGAAACATCCCTGCTCAGCACACGTCCTCAATTCTCTACTTATCCCGCAAAGATTGCCTAAACAAGACCTGGTTCAGGCTCTTGGGCGAATATCTCCTGAGCTTCTTGAAGCAGGATGTGTCGCCAATGGACATGGACATAGGCGATCGAACATCGGACGAAAAGAAAAGAAAAAAAATAAACAAAAAAAATTCCAATAGTTAACTCATATTTCGCCAGAGAATTTGTCCAAAAAAAAAAAAAAAAGCAAAAAAAAAAGGAGAGAGAGAGAGAGAGAGAACCAAGTTTCAGCGTCATCATTCACACACCCAAATCCATTACCTCATCGTAAATCATCAATCCCATTTCTCATCATTCTCATCATCCTCTTCATTTCTTCCCAAACCACGAAGACACTCCGCTCTTAGCCTCAGCCGCCTTCTGCTCAACAGTCTTGTCGAACGCGTCAATCTTCGCATTTACATCTCTGGCAGCATCGTGACGGGCCTTTTCAAACTTATCGACACCTTCCTTGGCAAGAAGAGCGGCTCTTTCATCCGCTCGTTGTGCTTTCTTGGCCTGAAATATTGTCAATTATTCCGATCGGAGATATGTATGAATTAGCAATGTTGCATGTTCAATTATCACTTTAATTTTGATTTCATGATATGAGTTGCGATGTGGTATAGTAGAAGTCGTGCACAATACTTATGGTTGAGTGGTAGGGTATTTAAAAATAATAATAATAATAATAATAATAGTAATAGTAATAGTAATAAATAAGTAAAAATAAAAAAAAATAGGGTGTGAAAAGGAGGAGGGAGCAGAGGTTGAACAGGGAGTAAGAGATGAAACATTGGCTACTTACCGCCTCATCTATATCCTTCCCGAGTTGCTCAGCGCCCAGCGCCTTGTTGCTCTCGCTTCGAATCTTCGATCCTGCGCGTGAAGCATCATCTACAAACCGTGAAAATGAGCCCACGCCACCACGGTCAGTTCGCCCATTCTCGATCCCATTTTCTTCCACTGTGGAATAATGCAAGCAGGAGAAGGGGAAAGGAGACGGATAAATTGCTCCTGAGGAAGCCCAAGTTGGAGCTCTCCGGCTGGAGCTATAGTTATATACGTTAATTTGAAAGCAGCCCGCTCACCTTCGAATTTCCGAGTGGCTCTCTTAGGATCGCCTCCTGCGGAGTATAGATAGTATCCTCCCGCAGCAGCGGCGGCGAGACCTAGATACATCGGCAGACGTGACTTGGACATAGTTGCTTGACGTGAAGAGGGTGCAAAGGGGGAAGTATAAAGGTGGCGGTATGCTGTTTTATTATCAGAGCTCCAACTGGGATGGTTTTGTTTAAAGAGTCCTTTTTTCGCCTCTGGATATCGCTATGGGGATTTGGGAGGCGAGGTGTGGACAGAGAGTGGGTAATGCAAGGCAAAAACAATTGCAATGGGATTATTATGTGAAATATGCAGGCTATATGGATATGTACAGTGACGCCTTTTAAGTGTGGAAGTGGTCGGGTAATATCTCACGGGAAATGGACGGTACTTTATAAGGACGCGGGGGGGAGGGGGAGAAGTAGTTACCTGACTAGCAAACAGGAGGAAACCTTAAGGAGTTGTTCCGATGGGAACGGAACCATGACGTTGAGCTTTTTGCTTCCTTCTTCGCTGTAGTGTGCCCTTGTACCCTCTTCTCTCCTCCTCACCCCCCCGCCCCTGGACTGGCAGGTCTGGCAACAAGTCCTAATGCAAGGAAAGGGACTTTTTGGCGAATGGGACCGATGACGTTATGCTGAACCATGTTGACAAATTAGGTAATTCCCTCCTCCTGGGAAACGCGAGTGGGTTGCACGTGACTTGGAGCTCGGTAGCGCCGGGAGGCTTCCGAAGGGAGGAGGTTGGTTTGGAGAATTCGATAGCAGCCATTAACTAGAATGCGTTATGATTCAAATCTACTTGGGGCATATCCAGCTATCTATAGGTACATAGCGATATATATGAGGAGATGTTACAGTAAGCAAAAGACCAGGCCGAAATTTATAATAAGTATTTAGAACCCTTCCGCCCTCGCCCTGTTTTCAAAAATACGGAGGAAAAAGGGAGGGGAGAAAGAAATTTTGTTTTTTTTTTTGTTGGGGGGGGGAGGATAGGTGATACATAAATACACGATAGACAAAGTTAAATAAAAATAATAAAGAAATATGGACAAAAAATAAGGGGAAAAAGGGAAGATCGAGTGGTCATGTGGAGAAATCCCATCTCTAAATCTAGGTGAAGTATCGTGGTTCGTCAAACACATGGTATCGATGCCCACGGACACCTTGGCCGCGGAAGAGGGTGGGGAATCGTAGTCCGGCGGGTACATGTTCTTCTGCTATTCGGATGTTGGATGTATCTTCGGGTTTACCCACGACGAACTTGCCCACCTGAGTAGGATGACAATTTTGTTAGCAAGAATGATAATAATAATAAAACTAAAATAACTAACATAAGACCAGGGGAATAGCGAGGAAACATGGGACATTAGAGAAGCATACTTGAATCTCCGTGTCGGTGATAGTCCCCCGACTGACTCTAGCATATCCCGTCCGCTTAAGCCCCCTGTACAGAATATACTCGCACCACCGATCCCAATCGGTCGGGTCGATGTCCTTCATCCCATTCGCCTCGCTGACGTAGGTGTTATAATTGCCCTCGAGAGGCTTCGTCACGAGGTAACTAAGCAGGATCAGCGGGCGAGGGGAGTCACCCATTAGTTTCGAGAGGTATTCAGACTGGAGACGCCGGTCCTCGGGGTCCTCTTCCTGGCCTGAGTGGAAGACAACGACGTCTACGAATTCTCCGTACATATCCATTGTGGCGTGGATGGCTGGGGCGAGCTCGCCGACGGGGGAGGGTAGGAGGTGGTGTGTTGAGTTAAGAATAGGGAATTTAGAGAGTAAGGCGCAGCCCCAGGTGTGCTTGTTGGGTCCGGGACCGTAGTCCACGTACATCCCCAGGTCTTCGGCGAGGAATTGGGTGGTGTCGCGATTACCCATGATGATTCTCTGAAGGTCAGACTCGAGAAGACCCACGACGTCGAGTTCCAGGTCTTTGATGGCGTCTCGCATTCGTCTCTCTGAAGACCACATATCATTGTCAAGGGAGAAATGGACGGTCCAGATTCCCGCGGTTACGACTTTGTCCTCCTTGTGGTAAGGTATATAGTCGTTCGTAGGGAATCGGAGGTATGCGATGGCAATGGAGAGCATTTGCAAGGTAATGAGAACGTAAATGTAATAGGAGCGCACTTTTCCGTTGGTGAAGGTGGCGCGTTTACCCTTCAGCGGCTTGTTCTTCATCGGCGAGATTGAGGAATTCGAAATGATCGCAGAGAATACGCCAGCACCAATAAGAAGCATGGTGGTAAGCATGATCCAATCTGTATGCTCTCTGACAAGAGGACCTCCAGGCACGAAGGCATATGCAACAACCCAAACGTGGAACAGAACCATAAAATTGTAGATAAGGAAAGCAACACCGAAGGTAGGGGCGGGGGAATGTTGGACGGCGGAGGTGATAAGCACAGGAGTAACGGACATCAGATAGATGGCAAGTATAAGAGCGCCATAGTAACCAAACCAATGGCTATTGGTTGTCAGGATGGCAGCTCCAACGGAACCCATCCCAAAGGCAGTCCACGACCCTGATAGACGAGGATAGAAAACGCCAAGTAGCAAACCAGCACCCATAGCAATGAAAGTACAAACCCCGTGTGGAACTGCGATAGGACCCTGGACCGGGTATCCTTCCCAGACCCAGAGGATCATGGTGCTCGAGTCCGAGAGAAGAGAGTGCAGGGCAAAGAACAACCCACCCAGGCCCGCAGCGGCAAGGAGGGAAGATCCCCTTTTACCTGTAGGGGGGAAGTAGTCGCCAGAGGTGTTAATCCTTCGCGTGGAGCGAATAACAGAGATCAAGGAGAGGATGAAGGCGGTTTTGTTCCACCCGCCGTTTTCTGCATGCATAATTGGCCAAATTGGATTGTTCGTCCGTGCGGCAAACTTGGCTACACTTGACGCAATGAGGCCGAGACCCCATGCCATTACGCGGGCCTCAAGGCGTGCAGGCTGCGACCGTTCGCCATACCATGTCGTTGGCCAGGCCAAGCAGCTCATCGCGACTGAAAATCCAACGGTGAAAAGGCGGTATTCGGGCCGCTGGATAAGGTAGGCCTGCAGCCCGCTGAGGGAGAGGAGGTGGATGATGCGAACATTGCGAACTGCGAAAGACCGGAAACTTGGAATGTATAAGAGGAAAGGTGATATCGTAACCATGACAAGGACTTCATAACCCGAGATACCCATATGCCACAAGGGAAAATCTAACACTATGTCAGGAAAAGTTCTGGTATAGATACGGCGGGAATGGACTTACACCAAACCAAAACGCCGAGAGAGGTCAGAATGGACCAAAAGACAAACTACAACTAATCAGCGACGTTGTTCAAGCGGACAAGTTCTTATAATATTGATCTTACGCCGTTGTACACATCAGCGGCCGCATCGATGGCTTCCGCCCAGAAAAATGCTCCACCAAAAGTGCGCCCAACAGGTTTATCCTTTCTGCAATGGGTTAATATATATATATATAAAATGAAAGGTAAAAAAGAAACAAAAACAAAAACAAGAAGGCTAGGCGTACTGTTCTTCAAGGACAAACTCTCCAGCAGTCTTTGATCTTCTGTATATATTTTCTTAGACGTCTAGCTCCATCGCTCCAGGCGAATACAACGATTGTACATATTTTTTGTCTATTTTGGAAGCCAGTGAACATACCCTCTGCTGACACCTTTCACATCTTTCACCATAATTTCGAATGCGCCAAAGTCGAGGGCCGTGACTGCGTCAAATCCCACATCAAACAAGATAAGCGCCCACTCAAAGAAGGAGTATTTTGTGTACGCTATAAGGGTATGTTAAAACTTTATTTCCGTGAGAAGTAAATAATTGACGTGGAAAATAAATGTTTCTCACCTCCAGGGACCTTGTGCACTTTGTGCTGAATGAAGTAGTAGATTAGTGGGATAAGTGTGCCGAAAAAGAGGCTGGCAAGTATCTTCCGGTACTTTACTGCCTGGTGGTTATTCGGACTCAGGGCAAGACACCCCAAAGTCCACGGAAGGGTAGCAATGAGGTATGAAATCATGAAGATATCGTGCCAATCATGATCATCCGTTGAGGTGATGTAAGTCCAACCACCACATGTCAGAGTCCGGAACAGACCTGTCCCAGCCACAAACGTCGGAAGTGAAGAGTTCGGGCGAGCCGTAAGGAGGTACCAGAGGAAAACGAGGGCGAACCGGGGGCCGGAAGTGATCGCAATGAAAAGCTGAAAGATGGATCGTTCGGGATAACGATCACCTATTGTGGCCGATACTGAGGGAAACCATTCTTGTGGGTATCCGTAGTGTTCGTTTTGGACTATTTTGCGGTAGTGGAGGGACATTCCAACGATCAATGCGCCGATGAAAGCTGAATATGCGGCCACAGTATGCGCCCAAGACACCCATCTGCCATTGATCTGGACAATCAACAAATGTCAGTATTAGCCACGGCGCATATCCAATTGCAGTGGGGTAGGATATACTGACAGACATGACGGTATCTCCGTCCCTGAACTTGGGTGCCATGGCGAAGGCAGGAAGCAAACGAAGATGGGGGGGGGGGAGGGGGGTTGTTTGCCTAAAGCGACTTCATGTACAGCAGCAGCAGCAGCACGAGAAGATCACTAAATATGATGCTGAAGTAAGATAAGGAGCGTCAACAAAGGGCAAAGCAAAACAAAGGAAGAAGAAATATCAAAAAAACGAGAAAACAGAAGGACGGCTGCCCCTGAACTGTTGTTGTCATTATGTTGTTAGCTAACTTAGGGAAAGAGGGAAGTGAGCCACGGAAGTTATCTTGACCCTAGTCCTAAAGGGGCTAGACTAGTTGCGGCTAACGGGTGTGGTGTTTTTCCGGCTGCCGATCCAGAGTAACAATCAAAAAATAATTGATAGTGAAAAAGAGAGAGGGCAAACGACCGAGAGTCCTCCGGATAATAAAGTCTAGGGTCTACCACTCTGACAAAGCTATGGCTACCGCAAGCGACAAAGCCCGCTTCTACTTGGAGCAGCTTGTGCCCGAGTTCAAAGAATATGAGAAGAAAAAGATATTCTCAAAGGTAAGGACGATATCCCATTCACATTCATCCAGAGCCTAGTATGCAATGGTTGACGTAAATTCTATTATTTTTTAGGACGAAATTGCCGCCATCCTAAAAAGGAGATCCAACTTCGAGCACAGAATCAATGCTACAGGTCCCAAACCTTCAGATTATGCCCGATATGCCGAGTACGAAATGAACTTAGATACCTTACGTCGAAAGCGGATAAAAAGACTCGGCATCACATCCGCCGCGCACTCGGGACAGAGACGGGTATTTTTCATCCTGGACCGTGCAACGAAGAAATTCCACGGCGACATCAGTTTATGGATGCAGTACATTGAATATGCCCGGCGGCAGAAAGCGTATAAGAAGCTAGCACATATCTTAGTGAATGCGCTACGACTACACCCGACCTGTGTCGAGCTGTGGATGTACGCAGCTCGTTACGCGCTGGAGGACCATAGCGACATGACGCAGGCGCGCACTTATATGCAGCGGGGACTGAGGTTTTGCAGGAGTTCGAAGATGCTCTGGGTGCAGTATGCCAAGCTGGAGATGATATATATCACGAAGATTGCCACCAGGCAGCAGATTCTTGGATTGAATGGGTCGAGGAAAGCACCCGTCGTTGATGGTGCGATTACAGATCCAAATGCGGACGTCATTGCGCTTCCTGTTGTGACGGAGGAAGATATCAATCCAAGCCTTGGGGAAGATAATGGGGTGGACGAGGCTGCGCTTGAAAATCTCAACGCAACGCCTGCGCTGACGGGGGCTATTCCCATTGCAGTATTTGATGCCGCTATGAGGCAATTTGGCAACGATGTCGGTGTTGCCCATGGCTTCTACACCATGGTCGCTGAATTTACAAAGTCTCCTTGCCTAGGCAGGGTGCTGGGTCATATTGTTGAATCGATGATGGAGAACAATGCGGATAAACCTGGTGCGCAGATATGTTACGTTATTTTCCCTACTGCTGGTATTGAAGTAACCTCTGCGCAATTCCCACGTGCATTCGGTACAAGTCTCAGTCGACTAAAAGAGTGTACGAACCGGAACCATGCCGGTAACCAAAAAAGCCTTGCAAGGGAGGTTATCAACTGGCTTCAACCATTGATTGCCACGGAGGGCCTCGACCTAGCTCTCTATAAGGTGATGGCAGCCACATTACGGAATGCCGAAAGCTCCTTGAGCTAAATATCCTAATATTAATGTAAGATATCTTTTGTCAAAATCTTCCATTTCTCTGCAGTTCTAATCTCCACCTGTTCATCCGTCGTGAATGCCAGATACCATCAATCATCGTAGCCGGTCGATCGCCGGCTTCTTTTCTTCATGCTATGAGCCTTCTTCTTTCGTATTCTAGCTTCTTTACTAGCTTTTTCGCTGTTGGGAAAATCAGCAAATTGTGCTTTAGCCATAATGCTTCTCAGATGAAATCCATGAGGAATCCTAGGTATAGGGCAGAGAACGTAGATGGGAACATACAGATCCTGCACCCTTTTCTTCTGTTCTGGGGAGGTTTCGCCTGGAATGGCCGCCTTACCCGCAGCGACCAGTAACTGATAAATTTTTTCAAAGCAAAGGTCGAGATTTTTGGACTGCTTGCGAGTTTCATCCGATTGTATTACCAAGCAATCAGAGCGTTCCGCCACGTAACGTGAAGACTTGATCTCGGCGTGTAGCGCGCGTGGCACAATGGGCAGGATGGAAGAGACGGGGATTTTAAGTGTTGCCTTTGAGTTCACCCTATAATAGTTATCCAAAGTAAGATTTACCTTTACTTCCTGGATTTGCATTTGGATAATTGGGTCTTCGTGTGGGGAGACTAGAGTGAAGAAATAGCTCAACCAATCTAAGGTGCATAGTTATACATACTTGTTCACATTCTGACCGCCAGGACCACCCGACCTGCTATAAGAAACATCACCAATGTTTCTTGGAATAGTCCTTGGAGTAAGCTCAGACAGCCAAATTCGCGCCGTGCTCAATTCTTCGTCTGTCAACCCTTGAGAACTGGTAATTTGCCGGGAAGCAAGCTGCCGTGTGTAGGGTGTTGGAAGAAAGGAATGGGTAACGAAGGCGATCCTGGGGTAGCAGCAGGCGAATCGGAACATATCAGTTAGCTGTAAATAGGTGAAATGTCAGGTAGCGTGTACTATGCAATCTCTGGTCCATATCTCTCTTCATTAATGTAGCTACATTCCGGTCATTGATCCGTTTTAACGATCACTCTCAATATGCCCCAGACCAAGAAATTGCAGTTCTTGGCAGTTGTCATTCCAGAGCAGGCGTAGGCAAACGGCAGCTCCAGCCAATGTCGAGACGCTTTGCCGCCTCAACCACCGAACCACCAGACGACGAGCTACACCACATTTTCCTCCTTGCACCAACACTAAATATAATAACCCCCCCCCCCAACTGCTTGCCACAGTTGGCTATTCATCGCTTGATCCTCTCTGACATCGTCCAGTCCCTCTGAACCACGGATAGCCGTTTCTCTATAAGTATTATTTTCCAACGGGCCCTATGTCCTCTTACTTGCGCTCTTCATGTCCCTGTGATTTGCGAATCTGCTGCTTCAGCTGCCCCTCCTCATTCTGCACCTCAGTCTGCAGACCTCGTATAGCTAGTATAACTAGTTCTTCTCACTCTCTAGATGCCTTCATAGCAAATTCCTGTTGTTACTTACTGCTTATTTAGCCGCATACATGACTTCAAATATCCCCGATGAAGCTCTTCACATCCGTGGCAAGACTTTAACCCCCGAAAGTCCACGGCCTCTCTATATATCCGAACCTTCTCATATCCCTTTACTCCAGAATCAGATGGACCCGGCCTTCGGCGAGTCGGGTGCATATCAGGAGCTGTTTAGCGAGAAAACGCCCTCTTCTTCAGACACCGAGCACGGTGGCATCATGAGTGAGCAGGTCCACCTTGCGAGTCATACTTACACTATGCTGCATCGTGCTGTTGGAGGTTCAGGGTCAAATGCTGTAGGAGATCAAGGCGAAGTTAGTTTTCCGGAATCAATACAGACGGGTTATCACAGAACAGAAACAGGAAATGAATCGACTTTCTCCGCTGCTCATAGACCGGCTTCCTCGAGTCAATCTGCAACTCACGTTAGTGAAACCTCCACTGATGAACTGAACCATAAGCGGGCCGTTCATACTGCCACTGCCACTGCCACCTCTACCTCTACCATACCTAAAACCTCCCCCCATTTAGATCACCTAATCCTGTCCGAAAATTACCCATCTAAACCCTACCCACCCTCAACACTCCCAGGAGCCGATTATGTGTCGAACCTGAAAAAGAGAGACTTCAATAATAATACCGTTGAACATACCCCAACTCTAAGTGGTCGCCATGGTAGAAACATTAAATCTGAGGCAAATACTGTGCCCGATGGAGATTCCAGCCACCCGAGCTCCTTGAATACCAAATCTGATTCCAAAAATATCCATCTATCTTCTCCCACAGCCATTGCCAATACCGTGGCATCTACTGATGATTACATGACCAAACCTTTGAACTCAGACCCATCTATTTTCCATTCTGCTGGTCTTCCCCCCCGCCCACCTCCCCAAGATAAACCCTCCATCAACCTAAACTACACTACCACTGATAATATCCAGCCCTTTCATCCCTTGCCCACTCAGCCCGAAAGCGGGGCTACCACACAGTATGGTCAAAGTAATTATCTCCAATCTAGTGGGCTGCCTGCCCTTGTTGTACCACCTGCTGCACCTGGGACCTCATCTTCATTGAACGGATTGCCTCCCCCTTCCATTCCCACTTTTCAACATCAATTCCCCCCTTCATCTAGTGCACAAACAAAACCCGGTATTCAAAAATTTCAACGAGGTGAGAGACTGGGTGATGAGGGGTTGAAGTTTCTGCGCGGTGATGGTGATAGAGAGGAGCCGTGGGGCCCTGATGTTCAGAAGAAGTATGACGAGTTTCTTCATTATGAAAGGGTTTATGTTACTGAGGGGATGTGGGATCGGTTTCCGCCGGGGTCAAGACTGTTTGTCGGTAAGTTGTTTTCGTTTCTTCAATGAGTGTTTATTTTCTACATTCGTATTAACGTCTAATAGGTAATCTCCCAACAGAGAGAGTCACCAAGCGGGATCTTTTTCATCTCTTTCATAAATATGGTGACCTTGCACAGATCTCTATAAAGCAGGCATACGGGTTTGTCCAATTCGTGGAACCTTCTGCGTGTCGCAAGGCTTTAGAAGCTGAACAGGGGGGATTGATAAGAGGACGGAAGATTCGTTAGTTTCCCTTTCTCTGGGGGTGCCTGTTGGAAATTTTCCTTTGTTTTCTTCTGTAACAAAGTGAATCCGTTTAACCACATGTTTAGACCTCGAAATCTCGAAACCCCAAAAGCCCACGAGACATGCGCCTGCCACTGATTCATCGAGGCCCCAAGCTACAAAAAGATCCAGATCGCCTGACCATCCCCGGGGTGTGCCAAGTCTCCGCGGCAAACGTCCAAGTAGCCCCCATCGATACGATAGGGCGTCGGAATCCAGGAAACCACCGCCATTTAGGGAGTTCAGAGGCCATGATGACCAGTATCGCCGTCGTGACGACTACCGTCCAAATCGCACACCATCACCACATGGCCATCGTCGAGATGAATATCACTTTCGCAACAGAACACCAGAAAAATATGACCGACGCCGCGATAGGCACCGCTCTAGATCTCCTTACGTCCGCCCAGGGCGATACAGAAGCCCAAGTCCGAGGCAAAGAAGCTATGAGAACGATTCAGATCTTCCCATACCAAGGCGGTCCTTGCGCCAAGTGCCAGATGTCCAGATTATTGTCTTGGAGAATGTCGATAGGTATGGATTTCTGTTTGGTGTTAATATGATAGGATTTTACTCTAAGGCCGTTGCTGTCTAGGGAATTCATATATCATATCGAGAGTTCGTTCCAAGACCGAGGTTTGCGAACGGATGTGCTCATTCTCAGTCCCCGGATATCACTTGCTGCTGTTGTTCGTCGTCAGATCATCGAGGGCGTCTTAGCGATCATCAAGCTATCTCGCACAAATCAGTATTCTGGGAAAATCCCATTGCAAGTGTTCGATCGCAGCGGTGGAAGCGATAATGTTAAGTTTAATGGTGAGAATTGCGACAAAAAAACCTGACCACATATAGTCTCATTCTGTGCTAATGATTCTCTTCCCCCAGAATACTCAGAAGTCGAACCGAACATTGCCGCAGATGTGGTTCTCCAAGCCCAAACCATTTTTGTTGCGAACACGTCCAAACACCCTTCGACTCAGGTACCACCAGTAATCTCCCAACTACTACCAAACCCCACTCGATATCAACCGCCACAGCCACCCTTAGGCACAAGCAGCAACATTACAAGCCTCATCTCGAATCTAGATGGCCCCGCCCTTCAATCTCTCCTTGTCGCACTGCAGCAGAACCCCGCTGCACTCCAGGTGGCTCAGCAGCAATACGCTCCACAAAGAAGCCCAACCGGCCTGGCTAACATCCTGAGTAATCTCTCTCACCAACAAAACCCGTCTGCTCCTCCCAAAAACACGCCACGCCACGCTTCCCAGCCTACATGTAGTCTTCCACAGTCACAGCTACGGCCTGGTGCAGGAAGTGACACAACCTTGGCATCACTTTTGGCACAAACTATAGGAGGACAGGAAGCAAGTCAACTGCCTCAGCCCCCACCACCGTCGAAATCGCAGGCGCCGGCAATGGCACCATTCGGGCCACAGATGGCTCCACATGTTCAGAACATCATGGATCAGTTGATGAAGTGGAAGCAATAAAGAACTTCTTCGTCTTTCCTAGCTATTTTCCGTCAGTTTAGTGTAACGCCGTATGGAGAGGCTCCCAGAACCATGTACTGCGATAATGGACAAACCATGCAGCTCGCTAGACGTTTGACAATATCATCCCATCCCATTCCATCATCCCGGTTCACCCGCCCAAAATCCAGAATCCAGAATAAACCTAAAGTCAATTCCATAGGAACCAAATTCAACCAGAGGTGCTAAAATTCTTGCTCTATCAAACATATCAACCATATGCTGCCCATGTAAATAACTGATATAATGCCTCCCCAGAGAACCCATAAGTATAGTAACGAGCCAAAATTCCATATCCCATTGTGTAACTGAACCTTCCTCTTCCTCTTTTCCATCCATACGGTGTATAAAATGTGACTAGCCTAGATATACCACCGGTGGCAGTGAGAAAGGAGACATGTTTTTAAACCCCGATTGAGGCGAATATCAACAGTCATGAAATCCATCATAATAATGTACAGTAAATTTATCCACAGCGTCCGCCCAGCCCCTTCCCCGGCCCGGTCTGGTCCCCGATCACCTACATCACTCGAATGGAATCGCCAATAATCCCGAGATCCCACAGAAGCCCAAGACACCTCCTCCTCCACCCCCATTTCTTTTGTCTACGACTTCCCTGCCCTGCTCTCTGCGGCCGCCGTGGCGTCGTCCGCTTTTATCTTCGCAATCGTCTGATCCCGTTTATATTCCATAAAGCGCTTCTCCTTGAAATAATTCACCTGCTCACAAAATAAGCCAGCCCCCCGCTCAGAGGAAGAGAAAGAAGTTAGTCTTTTATTCTTTCCTTTTCGTTCTATAAATTTAGAGCATGAAGAATAATACAAAAAAATGAAAGCTTCCAATTTCTCCGTTGTTTATAAGGCAGAAACAAAAGCAAAATAGGGCCAAGTGACGCACCCAAGTTTTCGAGCATGCGCTCTCAAATTCCACTATTTCCTTTGGACATTTGGCGCGTGCAGTTTTATCGTCCTGGACAGGGTCGATTATGCTATTTGCATCTAGGCAGTCGAAGAAGACGTCTCGGGCGATGTAGCATTGTCGTCGCGAGGAGCGGTCGGGGGCTATGGAGCCGCCGTCTGAGGCTTTGGAGGTGGAGGGTGTGGAGGATGAGGAGAACCAGCCCATGGTTCTTCAGTTCAATTGGGTTAAACGAGGAATGTCGAGGGTTGATATTCAAATCCTATGACTCAAAAACGAATCGGGTTTGGTCAATGGATTTTTTATTTTTTATTTTTTATTTTTATTCTTATTTTTTGTTTTGCCCGTTGACTTTCCCCGTTTCTATTCTGTCCGGTGTTAATAAATAATATAGCTTGTCCGTTCCAATCTTCCTTTTTACCTAAACCATCGTCCAAAACTAATGAGGCTAAACCGCATCAGGAAATGACGATATAACCTTGAGAAGAAATGTTCTTTAATTGCTTACTGAGAAGTTCATATTATATAACTACATCATTTTCAACATCATATACAGACTATCTTCTAAATAGTAATCAAATCAACTCAAAGAACCCCGATATCCAATGATTCATCTCTTTAATTGTTATCACGGGTTTCCCATTAAGGGCTTTTTAACTGTCAAATTTAAAATATATATAAAACTAGAGACATAATCTCTCATATTGTTTCTCTTTACAGAAAATTGAGAATATTGGCAAACTTCTTGGTTATAAAACTTCTGTAACTAGTTCACCGTCATTTTATATAAATGTTTAACTAGTTATTTAGAGCTGTTATAATTAGCTTAAGTAAATATTATTTTTATTGAATTTTTTAATTTCTGATTCAAGTTCATTATCTTCACTTAGAATTTCAGACGACTGCATGTCGAATATTTCCTGTGAAGATAATAAATTGAGTGATATAAGATTTATATTTTAAAAAAAATACCATAAACTTCAGAGAAGATAATCAAGTAAAACGCTCGGCCAAAAAGACCCGTAACTCGGCTCTGGTTTATGTTAGCCAAACTTCTATGCGCCCACTAAATAAGGTCGTCATGCACCATCCAAGCGTTTAGGTGTACAGGGATGCTAAACCCTTGTTCTCAAGGGAGAGCCCGGTTTAACTAGGTATGCACATGCATGTATGAGGTAGTCTCTCATACTATGGTACAGAATGACCTTCCACGCACTCCAACCAGTCCTTGCCCTCCAACTGCCAGGAGAGGGTTTGCAGATATCCGCATGGTGACAGCACTGTTGCAGAGAGCCAACATCTCTGTCTGTAACTATAGTTGGTGAACTTGCTCTCAACTACTACAATGCACCACCATGCGTGGTATATGTGGGTAACCTCTCTGTCTGAGGGCTGTGTGTGGTGTTTTGACTTTGCGATATTTAACTTGTTTATTTCCTTACGGCAACAAAAACAGGACCTGAAACTCTTGTGTCCCCACAAATGATCTCCAGCTCGTAACATCGATGAGCTCAGAAATGTCTACTTGAACAAACAGAAGAGACCAACTATAATATCGACACAGAATATAACCAAGGATTTCTTCGTTTTCGTTTCGGCTCATCTGAGCTTAATTTCTTCTTTGTTCTTTTACCGATGTATACTATCAACTCTCTGGAAGAGCATATAATCTCTTCCCACGAGTATCAGGGCACAAAGGAGTATTACATCAAAGAGGTATTCAACTCCCTTTCAGCCGACCAGGTCGCCATCTTACCCTTCCCACAATTAGAACTATTCTTTACAAGTCTCTGCCGCCCATATATTAAGAAACTGGAAGTCATTGCCGCTATCGCCGCAGAGATGCTGGTCGATGGAATGGACATAGATGAAATGTGTTGTCGAAGGTGCTTCGATGATCCAGAACAAGCTGCTGAGCTCAACTTTGCCTTGAAACTAGCTTGGGGGAAAGTCATCGCGGATTTCGCATTTCACACTGAATGAGGTTGCTTGTTTTATTGTCGATCATCAGGAAGCCCAGAGGATGCAAAGAATTCCTAGATTTCCATGCATGTGTTTCTTTCCCGATTCGCCCAAAGTCCTCTCTTCACTTGTACATCTGGAGTAATCTGTAAAATTTCTACAGATGACCTTGACGATGGGGGCCTCAACGTTCCCCAGTCGCCTGGGATGAACGATGGTGATTCAACCGTTGTATCAATCGCGCAGGAGAAGCCAGCAGGTCTGTCGGACACCGCTTCAGAAGAGCCACCCATAGTGGGCACTTCCACGCATCACCGTCTCATTCCACTAAGCCACATTACTCACATTGCGGTGCAGGCAACCCAGTCCTTGTACGCTCAAGTTGAAGAATGCGACGGAGATTTCCTTAGATCAAGAGCTGTTGACAATATGAGAGTATACAGATAATGGCTGTTTAATTGGTCATGTTGCAACAGGTGGTACAACAACCATCCACAACACATCGCACACTCAAACTGTATGCTTCATCCATTCCATTCTGCGCGCACAAGAGCTCAAGAACCCGCCGAAGCGTATTTGTTTTGACACTATTTTCATGATTTAATTATCATGACTGTTCCTTTTCCGTCTCATCTTCATCCCTTTATTTTCGCAGTACTTCCATCATTGTCGATGTACGGTTTTGCTCCCCAAAGAGCGAAGCCCCATCTCAAGTGTTATCTCGCCCTTGCCGATAAATTACTTGTCCTGCTGGCTCTGCTGCGCATTAATCTTGTCGTCTCTCTCAGTTGTCGATGCGCTGAAGAGGATTAGGCCATCTTCATTCTGGCGGCACCAAATCCACTCCAAGTCGTGCTGGATAAGTCGATCCTCGATCTTTGTGTATCTCTGATCAAGGGCATCCATCAGATCCCTAATGCCATGTTCATCTCCTGTAAACTTCTCCATATCTTTTAGTCGTAGCGATTCTTTTCACAATTTAAAGACATAATGTTTTATATAACGAGAGTGTGTGTACCAAACAACAGTATTACTTGAGAAAGAAGATCATGATCACGTGGCTGGCACATCGGCCTGTCCGACTTCTCCAAGGCTCTGGACTCCATTACATCAACAAACCATACCAACTCAAACAGCTATTTTCTCAATACTGTACCTGCGTCCGGCAGATAAAAAGGCGTAAACACCTATAAATAGAGCACTGTTCTTCCATAACCCTCTTATACGCCGCAGACTGAAATGACTCTTTCGCACGCTCCCCCATAACAGAGAACATTCTACACATCTATATATCGACAGCTTCAATGCAACGTCGCCGCAAACCTCCTCCAGCTGGTGCTCTTTCTGACTTCCCCCCACTCAAGATCGTGAAAAAGATCATCGCTCTCCAAGCTGCCTATTACGCCTGCGCCACGATCCTAATCCTCTTCACGGCTCTGGTTGCCGGCACTGCCTTTTCACCAGACCTCATTCTCTCCTGGCGCAGTCTCCGCGGCGATACGACGATAGGATGGACACTCGGGCTTGTCTGGCTTCTTAACAGTGCCGCCGGGTGAGTTTTATCGCCTTTTATACATATATATGTGTTCCTGCTATTCCCTGTGCCTTCTTACTAACCTCCACCCCCCATCCCCCCCCTCTTGTGTACGAATAGCGTTATCTTCCTCCTCCTATGGGTCTCCCGCTCAAAACTCATCCCTGACTTCGCGATCACAATTCACTTTATACACTTAGGCATCACCTCCCTGTACACGCACGCCGTTCCCTCAAACTGGCTTTGGTGGGGTCTACAGATCGCCAGCTCTGGGCTCATGACGTTCCTGGGTATGTGGGTTTGCCAATGGAGGGAACTGCAGCCCATCGTTTTCGGCGGGGGCGTAGCACCCAATGGTTCCTCACCTAGTGGTGGTGACAGTAATCAGTTAGGCCACGGGGATTCGCCCAGAGATGAGGAAGAAGAAGGCCGTGGTGGGATTTTTGGGATTTCGAGAGGCAGAGGACGTGGGAGGAATAGGGATGGCGGAGGGGAGTATGAGATGGTTGGAATGAAGGAGAGGGTTGATGATCCTGTCTGATCGTTTCCTTTTTTCCCCTTTTCTTCTTTTTCCCTTTTCTTCTTTTTTTTCTGCTCTTTGCTTTTCTTTTCTTCTTTTCTTTTCATAATTCCTGTTTCCCTTCTGCTTTTCAAGCTTTTGTGCTATTACTGACTTCATTGGACATGAAACCTTTCTTTCCTTCTTTTGTTCAGCTCTGTTTCTTCAATATATACCCGCTATTGCTCATGATATCTTATGTTTTGTTGCTTTGCATTATGTTGGGCATTACATCGATTAGCAGTGCATGGATTGTGGAAGGCTCAGTCATCTAGATTTCTTTTCTCAAGTCATTTTTTATGTTTTAACTGTTATTTTCCCGTTGCTGATTAAATATTCATTTATTGGTGATGTGGCCCGATGCCATACCTCCATTTAAACGTAGTGGTATATCTCTAGGCTTGGAGGAGCAATAATTTTGAACTACACACTAGAGCATCCATCCTTCCCGACAAAAAGGAAATATTCCTTCTGTACTATGTTATAAAGAGAAGCGATATACCAGGTTATCGACAGTGTAAAGGCAAATGTCAAACAACACCTACATCTCATCCTTAACAACGCCCGGCCCCTTCCAAAGTCCACCATATTACGGCGGTTTCCGGGTGGACACCGAGGCCTTCATACATGGTGTGGGAGAGCTAATCGCCTGTACTCACGACCAAAGCGCTGGACATGAGAAGGTATTTATCTCATGAATAAGTTTGGAGACCAGTACCAGTATAAAATCCAACACACGCAACCATCGCAACATACTGGTTACCCCACAGAAAATGAGGAAGGGATGACCATTCCCTGAAGCAGGTTATGTGTGGGGTAATAATGCCAAAGCCACCCACCCGGACCAAATAAAGAGACTGAGGTTAGTATTGGCTTCCAAGCGAAACGAGCCAAAAAAAATAAGTAAATAAATAAAAAATAAGGCACAGAGTCTGCACAGGGAAGCCTGGGAAGCTCCCGATTATCACTGTAGTTTCACATGAGAAGAGGTCATCAAATCCCCGTACAAAGAGACAGCGTAATTGAGAATTGGTATGCGTTTTATGTGAAAATCCTACGTTGGTATTAAAGTTAACATTTATCCTAGATATATATCTGTTGATTTTAGTTGAAGCGTTCCGTAGAACCAAGAGATGACGTCATAAACCTTGGAACCGAAATCGGAGAGTCTGCCCGAGTATTTTCACGTGACACCATTCGCCCCAGCATGGGAAACTCTCCCAAAGCTACATAATCAAGTGACCCTCCGCCCCGACCTCGTCCACAGATCCAACCTCACTACATTGACAACAGGACCATTCTTGTCAATGAATATTTGATAAGTTATATCTATAAGACACTCATCGTTTCCATTCAGAGTCTGAGTATCATTCTTTCCTCTGCCTCAGTATGATTCATTCCAGTGTCCTATCAGTCGCGCAGGTGCAGTTGTTGCAGCTCTGAAATTACATCATTGCTTTCTCTCATCATTTGCTATTTATACTTAAGGTATAAATCTATTTCCTTTCACTCCTTTCGGGTTCCGTCAGTCTATCAAGAGTTGTGACCAGGTGCCGGCGCCTGGTTTTGTTTTCTGCGCCTCCAGAATGAATCCTCCCCCACCCCCAGCTAGAAACGATCAACCGTCCCTAATTGTCTAAAAAAGGAACAAACCAGACCCATATATAAAAGATGACCGACTCTGAACCCTCCTACATCGACTACGAAGCCTTCCTTGATCCCTCATTCTCCCCCACTTCTTTCGCCAACACCCTTGTCACAAGCACCAACAATCTGTCCGACACCCCACTCGATCTATCCACTCCACTGTCTCGTGTCCTCTTTGATATACAAGAGATTGACACTCATATCCATTCATTGACCACGAAATCTGCGCTTCCTCTGCTCACACATACCCGCGATCAGGCAGATGCTGGTCAGCGGGTTTTGGAGGCTGTTGAAGGGCAGGTTTCTGCTCTGAGGGAGGGATATAAGAGGCTGGAGAAGGATGTTTTGGAACGGTGGGAAAGTGCGGAGGAGGTTAGAGGTGCTGCGGAAAGGTCATGGGCGACTGTGAGACTGGCGAGGGCTGTGGGAAGGTGCTTGGTGTTGGGTAGGCAGCTGGAGGGCCAGATGTTGGAGCTTACTGGTCGTCCATGGGGCGCGGGGACGTTTAGTAGTGGCTCCCAAGGGACAGAGGATCACAGGGCACTAGTGCGAGCGTCTAATACACTGCTGATGCTTCGGCGGATGTTTATCACTTCTGAAGATGGGGATGAAGGCTATGGGCTGGATCGGGTTAAAGTTATCAGGACATTGAGAGGTGATCTCGTCACACCGGCTGAGAGCATGGTTAAGGCCAGAGCAACGCAAATTATCAATAGATTTTCGCTCTCCTCTTTAGCGACTGACACGAGAGGTGTAACATCGGGTGCTGGTGGTTCGGGGACTCAGCTCCAATCTACCAGGGCATCGACTTTTGCGCAAGCCGAAGAGGCGAAGTCCCGAATCACGTCCGCCATCACCGCATTATATTTATTATCCCCAACTCCAAGAACGTCGATTCTGGTGTCTGAATTCCAGCCAGAGTTACTGCTTGCAACTTTGAAAGGTTATATTCATACATCTCTAACTTCATCGCTAGCTTCGTTGTCGCGATCACTTTCGATGCTGCCGACCCTCGACCGGACGCTCCAAGAGACATCTGCCAGGTGTCAAAACATTATGGCTTTGGAAGCCCTTCTCGAAACCATCAAACCTCCCGCCCATCCTTTCCTTTACTATAACCATCCCGCCCATCCCATTGATCCAGATACCACCACCACATCCAAGTCACATGCCTCTCTTAAAAACAAGAATAACCTTCTCCAACCATTACTCCAATGTCTCGACACATCCTCTCTCCCTTCCTACTTCTGGCGCTCACTAGCCTCGTCCCTCACAACGCGAGTTCAAGAGATCATCAATCGCGGAGGTGTTTCCTCGCGAACGTTGAGATCAAATCGAGAACGATTGCGTGAGGAACTGAGGGAATGTGTTCTACGAGGATCGAGGTTACCCAGTAATAGTATCAGTAGACTGGGGGCTTCGACAGCGTCACCCATAGTGGTGGGGAATTGGGAGAGAGAAGCAGCTGTTATGGTGCGTGCAGTTGTGGGTGTCTTGGGAAGATAGGGAGAATTCAACAGCATTTGAATTACGTATGATGTCCATATGCACGTACTTCTTGGATGTGAAGATTTTACGTTCTTAATCCATTTACGATTTCCTTACCGTCTTCGTATGAAAACACAGCGCCCTTTCACAGTTCGCTTATCGTTGCCTTCAGTTGTTATTTACTAGCCAATGCGTGCGCTGCCAGTTGAATTTTCGCCAAGATCCTAGCCTAGGTAGCGCACCTAAATATACGCAAGTATTTAAATGCAATTCCAATTTTGAGGGCACATCAAACATCATCAACACTGACGCTGAAAGAAAGTTCTCATTTACTGGGGTGCTTTACGCTTGCATCCTTAGGTCTATATCTATATCCACTACAGAATATACTCAAGATATATGTCTATAGGGGATAAAACCCCAAACGAAAAGAAAAGCGTTTGGCATACCATTTTTTTTATATGCAGGTACATGTGCAGTGGATGTCCGTCAAACCATGGATACTTACGTGGGTCTGCCCCGCACCTTCTGCTGGTTTACCTCGAGCCACTCAGATAGGTTTGCACTGTTTGCGGAAAGGTAGGCACTGTCTCTGTACACGCCCAGGCAAATAGTGACATGACACCGTCATATTCCCTCTTGAAGTGACAACCTACTAAATGCAAAAAGCAAGTCTATGATGTAGTTATGAGATATAAGATTTCTATCACATGCTTTCCCTCGCCTTCGCCCCCCTGTTGCCCATCGCATTTTCTCCTCCCCTTTCCCCTTTCCCCTTCCTGGCCCTTACACGCATCCATCATACCCTTGGAATGCATCATAATATTCAACAATCCCCGTCTTTGCCAACACCCTCGTTTCACCGCCTTTTCTGGGTTACAGCAAATCTCTCTCCCCTCCACCAAGACCGGTAGCTGGGAGTCAGATCTTTTTTCGACATCCATTCGCGGATCGTTGAACACCTGTCAGTCCTTTTTCCCTGTACGTCTGGTGGCGATGGTGTGCGGTGCTTGGCATGCAGTTGCAACTTGTGTCGTGTCACGAACATTATACAATTGACATTTGTCCAGGACCCCGTTTCCCTTTAATTTACCCCGCCAAAGTGCCCCCAATCGGTTTGCCCAAGGCTTGTTATTCGTAGGCTATTGGGGTTTTGCTTGGGTTATGAAAATTTCTTTACATGCATAGTCCCATTTATGCAAGTTTTCTGACCAGAATGAATCATCAACTATCCGATAGACCACACTTTAGACATTTGGCTGTGCCCACAATTCCGTTGCGAAAAAAGGGATAAGAAGGTTTGCTCCTTTTTTCCAGTTTTGAATTAGGCCTCTTTAGAGTTTCGTATCTGAGCCCGCTGGATACCTGATTGCCTCAATGTTGTTGCTTCTAATGAAATTTATATCTGCTCTTGAGCTCTACTCTGTGTCCCGTGTCTCAATGTCCTCTGCCACTCAAAGTTCCATTTTCTGAGCTTACTCCTATAAGTCGACCAGTCCATCTAGGCCATGCCGTACACCGCTCAATCCAATCCCTTTGGATTTTGTCGATACACCCAACCCATCCATGGATACCAAATAAATGGGTGGTTCTGAGTTAAAGATAAGTAGTAACTTTCTTCAATCTCAACCAAGAGGATAGATCAATCATAGACCCACAGCCTGGTTAGTTCGGTTCAGTTCCTAGACTCTCTCTCTGTATGACTGGATGATGGCTAAAATTTAACCTTCCGATTGATGTCCAGAACCACCGAAATTCCGGATCGCTCCGGGGCACCTCTTTACCCGGCATTACTGCCCCTCCTATTGTTGGCAGATAATAGGGGGTCTTTGAACCAAAAACACGAAACGAAACGAGGGGAGTGCATTGGAGTATGTTCAACATTTTCTGTCAACATTTTCTGTCAGACAATATCATAGGTTTTATTCTTGATGAAAGCTTCCCAACAATTGAAGCAGGCCACATTTGTTAGTTGTCAACCTAGAACAGTTTCTCTGTGCTATTTACATAGTTACCCAAACAGCTCCGGGGGAAAAGTCGTTAATAGGGGTAAATAGGTGACAATGACAACTAGCCCTTGTGGTTCCGATTTCGATCTGGACTGTTCAACTTTGCACAAGCCAGGTCAGCTCGTCTTAGTCATTCAACTTATGCATTCGTGTTACAGTAAAAGGAACCCGTGTCTGTATGTGATGTTGATTTGACAATCGTCGGTAGAGTTTCTCGAGAACTTCAAAGCTGGAGATTTCTTCTGCTTGATTGTTTAACCGTCGAGATTCACCGGTTCGCTTTCCCTGAAGGTAAATATGGGTCTATATAAGGAATCGACCTCTGTATATACCAAGCAGGATATTTCTAGGATCACTCCAGCTTCTTGATGAAATTTCTTTTCCGTCTTCACATTTCTTTTTCTCATTTCCCCATCTTTGACTGATATCTTGGATCGTCCTTGTGTTCCGTGATCTCGTACAAACAAAACCTTCTTCCCTTATATCCGTAAACCAGGTACCTCTGGTACTACTAGTATGGTACATGCACTCATGAATATATGCAACCTAAACTATATTCAGACTCCTATTAAGCAACGGGTGAGAGGGCACGCAAGCCAGGAACCGTTGGATTTGAGAGGGATCAAAAGGATAACTTTCTCTCTCCTCGTTCTTTATTTCTCACACTTTTCTTAAAATATACTCTCCATACTCCGTACAATAGACACCACCTCCCACCTCCCACCTCACCTCTGTTGTCATTTCTCCCAACGTCACTTTCTTTTCTATGTATTACACCCACCGTTCCACAGTCAACAATGGGAATACATAGTAACGAAGCTTAAAACAACTTCGTTCTTATACGGCCTTTCTATACTTCTCGCCCCTGTCCTGCCCACAACATAAATCTGATAGGTAGGGTTTTGATATCCACCCCATTTCTCTCTGTGGCCAGTGACCAGCGCACATCACACTCAGCCCATCACAGCCGGCCGCGAGGACAAAATGGGGCAAAAGCTGCAACCCATCATAAACTAACATCAACCAACAATTTGCTTTTGCCAATTTGTAATCCTGCCTCACTGAGCGGAGAGCGGAGAAGTCCTGAGCACTTGAGACCTTGTCCTTCATCCATTGAATGCATCTTGGCCATTTTTCCCCTCCTTTTCTCATCTGCAACACCTACCAGGAAACCTTTTGGCCGACAAAGTCATTTTTCATTTCATTGGTGATATATATTGAGAAAAATAGATGAGGTAAATATATTAGTGAATTTTCTAAGAAGAAAAAACCACTAATATTTAAGGGCTAAAAAAGAATTAATAATAAAGATTCATTACTAATACATATATATCTCTTTCATAGCATCAATGAAGTGTAGTAAGTCATGGAATAATAACATAAAAAGGTATTGCTCATGAAAATAGCTTTAGTCACTGGACAATGATTTTTTCTTTTGGCTAGTTGCGCAAGTTTAACAGATCAGCAACGACTTTAACTATTATCATAAATGTGTCAATGCATGCTTATGCATTAGTTAGATCTTTAAGGGTGGCATGGTTTATTTCTAGACAGTAAGCATTACCCAACTAACCTGCAAGCTGTTTCCTTTACCAATGTATGCATAGAACGTATAAACTTACATTCAGATCCCACTTCCGCCTGTTTTATCTTTCTTTTCTTTCTTTTGTACGCGTCTGCCAACTCAGCCGTGTTGTGCTTCTGTCAGTCGAGAATAGCTCAAATGGGCGTTGGACAAAGTAAGCATCCACTGTCTGCTCTTCCTCTCGTGTTTGTGACCTGCATATATAAAGTAGCAGCAGTTCAAAGTACCTGGAGAAGTTACGAATGTATGTATGTCGGTTAGGTTACAGTTTGTTGGAGTCCTGTCACAAGTCCTCTTTTTCACTTTCATGCCCTTTTTATTTCCTTTACTGTGTGTCGTTCATTGCTTATCCGGTGGGTTTTGTAATCATGGGAGTATCTATGGCTGAGGAGTTAAGAGAAGAAGAAGAGTAACTCAGCTCCAGTAATTGCATGAGAGAATGAGCCTATATATGCATACATGTACACTAGCTTTCCGTATATGTTGTGCCTGGACACGGTGCGCGGAAAATGTTCCTGCCAAGCTGTTTGACTGACAACTCGAAGAACAAGCCATCAAAACCGAGTGGAGGAACGGGAACTTTACCTATTGGATATTATTGTCCATGTTTTCCCCACTAGAAAGTAGAAAGGAGATGTATGGTCGACATATATATCCAGGCGTATATAGATCTATGATCGGGTCCATACCTCTGTGGAAGTTAGAAAAAGTTAAAACAAGCATAAGATATAAATGCGGAAACTAGTCCGGTCTTTCTCGTCGATCATGTTTTTTTCTTTTCTTCCCCTCTTATCTCATAATGAATGACTAAATATCCTCAGCATGGGTAGCTCGGTGGCTAGATAACTGGGAATGGGTGGACAAAGTATGTGATGAAGTATGCGAGCACGCTCGATGTTGCAACAAGCAACCTAGATCGGCCGAAAGACCAACAGGGCATGGTAGCTAGTTATTCTTTGAGATCTGGAGTGTATGTGTGGAGGAGGACCCGGACATTTCTCCCCCAGTGAAAATCCAAGAATACTAATTAAGCATCTATACCCGACTCGATAACAACCCTGAATATGAGACTTGATCAGACAAATGCCCAATTAAACTTGTTTAGAATAATTTTTTCATGAACAAGAATCCCCATAAAAAAACCACCTCTCATTACCCTTCTTTAAATGCTTCTAGATCTTTTTGTCCCCACTTTGGCTCGTTATTGGTTTCTTTCTCTCGAGTCTTGCAGCTAGAAATATGCATCATTCACGATGGAACTGGACTGGGCTTGTACCTTGGCAAGTATTTCCCCAAGAACAGCAAGCTAGGTACGAGATATCTAGGGCAAAGTGCAATGTATTGACAGGTACCAAACCCTCCTCCATCCATGGATCATAGGAAAACCCAGCCAAGATCCATGATCAATTTGGCCCACTCACACCCCCGCATACAAACTAAAATTAAACTGAATCGTGCGACCAAATCCCTCCCACCAATCACTGGAAACCAGACCCGTACCAAAGAGCTAAACTCGATTCTACAATCAGGCCAACGAATAATAATGGCCCATGGATCAAAAGCCAGAACCGCGGCCAAGCCACCCCAAACCCAACCGACCAACCAACCATCCCTCTCTCCTGGCCTGAAATTCCCCATCCCCCTCTTCTTGGCCCAGCATTTGCAAAAGTGCCCATCCACACACCCTGCAGAGTCAGTACGCAGTACGCCTGCAGTATTCCCCCACAGAACCTAGCGTGAGCCGTCCTAGGTTTTCGCCCACGGCCAGCCCGTCGACATCATCTTCCACATCGACACGTAACTATTTGATACTTCGTTAAGCACTGATCCCGTAGGTTCCCCCCTTCCCCCCCATCATCAACATCATCACTCAACCTTCATGGGGGCCGGCTGGGGGTGTCCGTCCACCAGGCTTTCTCCGATTTGAAGCCCTGCGAGGAAACTTATTATTAATATTCCTAGGTTTCCCATCTGCATGGCCTGGTGTATTGGTCTATGAGGGTTTTCCTGTTTTCTTCTCCCCTTTCATGTTCTTATAACCAAAAGGGAATTGGAATTACTGCTTTTTGGACCTGGGCGACACCCTAGTTCGCCCACGTGATTTTCCGTACCAAATCTTCTTATCTAGGGGCCTGCTGGACGGAATGGATTCCTTGGAACCCATCTATAGGGACAATCACGCGAAGAGCATGAATTTTGCTCGAGCAGCTTGAAACAAGGTCCATAAGTGGAGAGCAAATCGGGGAAAATATCATGGACTTCAACCAATGATGTCAAATATAAATACCCTCTCCTGTTTTCACATCAATTGGATGGAATGTAAACACAAATTGCTCTCTTCAGCCTTCCCCTCTTCCAGGCCATTATAGGACAGGCAGCAATGGTAGAAATAAACTATACTGTAATTACCCTCTAAGCATTTCCCTTCCCAGTTCCCCTCTTCCCATCACTTCCCCCTTAAATGTTTAAGTATTATCTCAGCAATCGTGAATTACCCATGTAGCATATCGTCATTGGAGAGCGTCGCTTCGTTTACTGATAGTTAGGTTGTGGTTTTTGTGGGTTTCCGGTATCACAACGAAGAAGTGCCGCCCCTGTTGCTGGTATTCTAGGTTTGTCTGATGGTTTATTTGATCATTATTTATTTCGGAGGTCGCCCTCCGGAGACAGGAAAAAGCTCTGCAGGGCGCCCAGTGCCAGCCAACTTCAATGGGAAATATATGAAGTTGACAAAGATTAGGATTTGGCCCATTAAACTACAATAATAACGATGGTAATACATACGGGGGTTGTTACTAAAAGTCTTGAATGGCACTAAAAATACTACCGGAATAGTGTAAGAACCTTAAAACATAATGATAGGCATCAATCTAGGGACTCTAGGCTCGACAAAAACTAAAACTTTAGATACCTGATACCTTAAGTCTTAACTAAAAAGCTTTAACCACTAAAAGTAGGCTCAAGCCTAATATTTAGTCAGGTAGCGACCGCCAACACCCGGACAATCTGGTGGGTCTTATGTCCTCGTCTCCAGTTATGGGAACCTCGTTTAAGAGGATCCCATGGCTCCACATATGATCAACTGTACCCCTGTCCAGTGTGCATGAGCTAGTTGGATTTGGTTATCGGAGATTTGTAGAGATAGTTATGGACAACGAAGTCCAGGTTTGCCGCCAAAAAGGGTCAAACCCGATCATAGCGTAACCGGATTTCCAAAGGGTTATCGAGAAAGTCAACCAGGAAAATGATCAAACTGAAGTTCACCCCATGACCGTGCAAGTTAATCGATGACAATCAAGCTGTACCTAGACCCAGCCCAGCACAACGAATTGAAGCTGGTTGTAGATTTTGACTTGGAAATAGGAAGTTAACTCCCCCTGCAGTTCCTTGCGTGCCGGTTGGACAATATCAATAGTTCTCGTGCGGTTGACTTGATGAAAATATTACATGGCAATTGATTACTGAGCATGCTAAACATAACCGCGCCGCCTCCTTTCATTGTCTCGTGTGGCGTCATAGATTTGGAGCTGCTAAACTAAAAGCGGGCTTCGTTAAAGCGTTCCTTGGATAAGCTGTCTCCTTCGGTACCTAGGAACCTAGGGATGGAAGTAAAGTTACGGCTGGGGGCAAGGTATGGTTTTCTATTTCCATTCCTTCAGTGACCCGAAGGAGAAAACTGAGGAACAGATTGATAGGTGATCGGAAACCCCTGTACCTTATTAGAAGCTACCTAGAGTTAGCATCCTTGGGTAGCTACAAAGCAACATGTATGTGTGGACGCCGTATTATGTATGCATGATGTGCCTTAAACGAGCAGCCGAGCCATTCTCATCCCAGGTCTGGGTCCTGTCCCTGAAAGATTGCCACGCTCGGATGCATATGTATATCCCTTGATCCCCCAGGGCTAGATAGACATATCCAGCCTCTTTTATTTATTATGGTGTAATTAGTAGTTATTTTGAATTACTAAACAAGATTTTTACTGGATTCAAATTGTGTTTATTTTTATAGTTATGACATAACAAACACTAATCGACTCCCCTTCCCGGCCCAGCTCCGGCGTCGCCCAGCCGCCAGACAAGGACAAGAAGTGCCCCTCATCATGATCAGCATCTCAGCATTCATCCACTCATACGCGTTACTCCACCCTACTGTCCACTGCCTTCTTAACAACTAATCAGCTTTCACGTTTATAACTGGGTGATATAATAAGAATTGGAGTTAGCGTTGATACGTCTTTACTCCTTACATGCCGATGAAACATCTGCCAGGTACATGTACATACTGGTACCTCCGAAATAGTTAGCATCTCCACTCTCATTGCTCGAGAACTACACTGCACAGTTCTCCCTCCGCCCTGCCCATTAGTTAAATCCCTTTTGGGTCCGGTCCAGTCCAATCCAGTCCAATACAACCCGCCGCTGTCTATTGCTCGCTGCTCAGTGCTCACTATTCACTGTTTCAGCCACTGGGTCTTCCCTTCCCAAGTGAAGCTCACTGTCGTCTTGTCCCTCTCAGCCTCCTCCTTTCCGGTTCCCATCAACCAACCAACCTCAACCTCAACCACCTCCACAACCACCACCACCATCACTACCACTATCACATACCAACGCCAACTCTATCTCCATCCTTCTCTCCGTTTCTTCCACCACCATTCCAGTCTTCTCATCCATCTGTCCTCGGTCCCGTCTCCCATATCGTCTGTCAGTTTCACCGTTATCCCACATCATCCCACCACGGATCCACCCTCTACCCACCAACTCCAGCAAATCATCACCTAAACTGCCACATCCGTTATCCTCCCCGCGGCAGAATAAGCAACCCATCTCCATCTGTTTTTATCGTCCTCTCTCCGCCTCCTATCCGCCTATTCTATTATTATCATATCTCCTTCAAGCGACAGGACGTTGAGGCCGCCTCTGTTTTCCCTCAATAATCACATTAATTTATCCTGAACCCACATCTACTCCGTTCCCTTCCCCCAATAGGAGAAAAACCCTGTGCGAGATCTGCAGACATTGGAATACAGGTAGTTATAGTTAGGCTGGCCTATTGACTTGTCCCTATCTTTCGTGTCCCCTGCTGCTCCCACCCGCCCGTCCATC